CTTCAGTGGGGCTTTGGTGCTCACTGAGTCTGCCCCCTTAGTGTGTCCCTTATGGGTCTGAGGAGTTGTAATTGAATGGTCCCACTCTGACCACTGGGTACACTGGCTCTTGGATCTCTAAGGAGGTGTTAATTTAGCCTCTGCCTGAGGCTACCCAGCAGGAGCTATGGAGAGATCTGCAGATTCCTCTTCTTTGTTTGGGGTTTGGAGATGCCCAGATGAGGCCCAGCTGTGAAGCAATGCAAGCTGATGTGGGGCCTTGGGCCTTCTTTTGGAAGTTCTGGGTCTCTCTGACCCAGCTGCAGTTTGTTAGGGAATTTTCAGATTGCAAAGGGCCAGGCCTTTCATATGCAAAAGCTTCTGTGCACAGCTTGGGTGGGGTCTCAGGGGATCAACAGGGCGGAGCAAGCAGCTATGGCTGCTCCTCAGTCCTACCCTAAGAGGCCCTGCGTCTCAGTGTCCCGGTAATCGCTGCAAGCACCTCTGAGAGAAAGCGGCCCTCAAGTTCCGACCAATGCCAGACAGTTCAGTTTCTCCCCGTATGAGTCTGGGTCCCGGTCCCCAGACCCAGAACTGGAGTTCAGAGCAGTCTCGGGAGCTTGAGACTCCCACCCGATTGAAAAAGACAACCGTGTCCTCAGCTGCCAGCCCTTTCCTCGCGCCTCTGTACCTCTGCGCTTTACTTCCGCACAGCACCTCCTCTGAGTCTCAGTGTGCTTTTCTCTTTCCTTCTAGTTGTAGAATTTCCACTCAGCTAGCCTTCCTGTGGTTCTCGATGATGTCCGTTTTGTCTTTTAGTTGTATTTTTGAAGTGGTTGTGAGAGGCAGCAATTTCCTGTGTTTACCTCTGCCACCATCTTGGTTTTTCCATGGATCCAGTCTTTCCACGACAGGTGGGGGTTGAATGAAGTGAAATAAGAGTACGAGTGCATTCACTTTGATCAGAGTAGCAGTAAAAGGACTATATAAATGCAACTTAATTTCTAAAGCCTCATCTTGCCTCCTCGCCCATAAAGTTTCCCTGTGCCCCAGGTAACAGGCCCTGCGTTTGCAGGTGTGGGCTCTGAACTAGGCTCAGGATCAGAGGTTCTGTGGTGAAGGGTCTGCAGGGAAGGAGTCACCCAGCACCCCAGCTCTAGGGAGCGGCTTGCGGGCCTGGCTCTTTTTCATTTCCTCGGCACCTGCCTGCCCAGGACCCCCGCACCGTGGGCCTCCGTTGTGGGCAGCAGAGCTGAGAATGACAAGCCCTGTCTCTCGTCTTCCGACCTTCCAGTTCTGCTTGGATGACCCCGTTCCGTGTCCAACCTCCGACAGATCCATGGACCAAGGGCACAGCCCAGTCAGAGGCCAGAGGGATTCTCACGGCCCCAGGGCCACCGCGCAGGCGCGGAAGGCGCTAAGTCCCACCCACTTGGGGACGCCCCGCCCACAAGCCTGGGAATCCGGACCCGTGGCTGGAACTTGTGCGCCGGAAGCAGAGCCGGCCGGAAGCGGGCGGAGGGTCAGGTG